CAGAGTCTCGCTGACCCTGGGCCTATTAGCCATCTCGAATCCAAGACGGGTCCTGCCCCTGGGCTTCCCTTGCCCTTCAGCTGTCAGGGCTCAGCAGCAATGGTGTTTCTAGGCATGAGGTCCTCTCCACCCCGAGTGAGTGCTGCTGCTGCTGCTGCTCTGCTGCGGCAGTGGCGTTGACAGGCTGGCGCGGCGGCGGTGGCTGCGGTTATTTGCACCGTTTCTTTGCACAATAGGCAAGGTTAAGTGTGCTCCGTTCAGGGCATCCCGCCTCGGACCCCAGACCACCCATGCCGGCTCATCCCGCCATGCCGGGGAAGAGCAAGGAAGAACGGAGGTGGGGAACCGGTGATATTAGCCTTCCCAGCTGGTGGTGGACGCCAAAGCCTCGCTCTGTCTAGGCTCACTTTCTTCCTAATTGTTAAATCTTTCTGGTGGGTCCATCAGCAGCTCCAGGCGATCTGAAGGGCTCGTGAGGCGCTGCGCTGGATGTTCATTCATTGCAGCACAGCAGCAGCAACAGCAGCTGCCGCCCTCTAACACGTCAGAGGATGAGGGAGGAAAACAGAAGGGAGGGGGAAGCAGCGCCCGGAGGGGGCTGCTGCTGCTGCTGCCGCTGCTCCGGTGGGAGGGGGCTGCCAGTGCGCTTGGCTTGCTGCAGGCTGCCCTGGAACGGAAAAGCAAACCGCGGGAGGGCGGAAGGGGACTGGTGGGTGATACAGAAGCGTCTCCTTCTCATCCTCAGACGCTGCCCACCCCCAGAAGGGGAACACCAGCTCCGCCTGGCCACCCCACCCACTGTTTGCAAGGCATGCTGGGGAATGTAGTCCTGCCTTTGTTGTCTTCTTCACACACAAGGAGAAGGATGCGACGCTGAGCCCGTTGAGTTGTAGAAGGTAGGATGGCGCGCGCGCGCGCGCTGGGGGTTGTTTCTTAAAGGGACAGGCATATTTCGGCCATTCAGGGCAAAACAGGGAGACCCCGCACCCAGAGAAGGCCATGATGTATCTATCGTCAGCATCGGTCAGACATTTGAACCTTTGGGAACAGCACCGCTTACTCTGGAGCCAGCACCACTTACGAAAACCTTGACCAACTGAGTATCTTCTACATCTCCCAGAACTGCTGGGAATCATGGGGACTATAATCTGGTAAAGGGTGGCCAACTTAAGCAGATTAATCAAAATGGATATGCACCCTATTCTTTGATGGCCTCTTTAGAAAGCAGAATCCTTTTAGGTCTCCCAGTCAGTTTGTACGTGGTTGCGGTTGTGACTGGGGCACAAGACTCGCAAGCCCAGGGTTAGGCAGGGTCTTGAGGCCAGAAAAGAGAAAATTCATTTGGGATGCCGGGCAGCAGAACAGGAGGAAAGGCAGCTCTCGCACAGGAGGCACAGCCCAGCAGTTCTCCTGAACAGCTCCTCTCCGCCCCCATTCCCTTACCAGATCTGGCTGCAAACATCTCTGGCAAGCTATTTGCTGCCATCTAGTGGTCATCCAGCAGCAGGACCCCTAAAAAAATACATGACCAATTCATTTCCATGGGTTAGGGCATTAATTAGCGCGTTGGGAGAGTTACATTATGTCTTTTAGGATTGTCCACTTGAGGCATTTAGATATCCTGGATCAGCCTTGAAACTATAAGCAATAACAGAAGTATTGAGATATGGACGATACATAGAAAGATGCAAATTTTTCTAGATCTCCACCTCCGTAACAGCAGTGGCAGTATCTGGTTGAGTTTGGAAGCTATAGATCAGGGTTTGCTAGTATTTAGATGGAAAGCCATTAGGGCTGTAGGCAGTGGGAGGTAAAAAACATCCTAGGAAAAGATAACAACAAATTACTTTGGCATTGCTTACAAGAATATGTATGATCATGCCCATGCAGTCAGCAGGAGTTGAGTTCTGCTCAAGGATGTCTTTATTTATTTATCTCCTTTTCCTCATTCTTGAAGATTTAATAGACCTATGTACCAACTTTTACAGAGCATTTATCAGAGCAAATCTGAATAAAAGATACATTTTTTGGCAAATTGTATTTTTCCATGAATCTCTAAGTGAACAATCCCTACATGATACAGAGTTAAATACAACTTATTTCTGCAAATGTTGGTATGCTTACTATTTATATGTAGTTATTTTAGATTCAAAATAAGAAAATGGTGAAACTGGTAAGTGCAAAAGTTTGGCCACTCTTTCAGTCACTACTTTGTATCTTGGCAGAAAGGAAAATTTCCTATAATGAGGTATATGTATTTTATTTTTGATTTTGATTTTTTCCCCACTCTTCTTTGCAGAACCTTTCTAGCTCAAGAACATTCTCAGGCCTCCTTACATGCACTGCATCTTGAGATCTCCACAGATTTTCAATCATATTCAAGCCTGTTGACTGTGAATCTGTTCCAAATCCTTTATCTTTCCTGTAGCTATTTCATGGTTGGTTTGGAAGTTTGTTTCAAATACAGTAGCTGTTTTGCAGAAATATCTAACCTCTTTTCAGCTTCAGTTCCATTGTGCAAACTGAATTACCTCCTCTACCCATTTACAATGCATTATTTAATTATTGCTGATCCAGCCACTATCTGAAAATAGGTTGACCTTTATAAGCAACCAACAATAATAAACCTAAGCAAAATCAAAATACTGGCCTGCAGAAAACATTGCAGGTGGGATGCAGAGGATGAGGGAGCTGAATGACCAAATAAAACACCAGAGTTAATGACACTGCTTTCTCCTTCCACAATGCTCTGGCAATTTTGCCAAGCACAGTTTAGCCCAAGCAATGTCGTATTTTTCCTCCAGCTGATTTAGCACTTTAGGCAGAAGGCCAATTTTGCAGTCTCTTCCCACTCAGTGCTACAATTGCAAGGAACCAAACAAATTTTCCAACACTCCTTTTCAGTAGTTCCCCATGGCCTGCAGGTGACTAGTTTGGTAGTACAATGCATCTGGAGAGCACCACATTGGGTAAAACTGATCCAAAAGCTCCATGCACATGACAAAGAGGGAGTCCTAATACTGTATGCCTTCATCTCTGCAGCTCTACCCCTTTCTTTAGCCTCATTTGTTAAAACATGGTGATAACATATATTACAGAAGGACCAGCAGTCTTGCTGACCAAAGATCCAACTATATGGATCTATATCCTGTTTCCATAATGACCAAGCAAATGCTGTGGCCAATCCATCAACAGAAAATGAAGAGGCAGTTCTCCTGCTGTTTGCCTGTCATTCAACAGCATATTGATTGTTTTAAAACATGAAGATTCCATTAAGTTTTCATATCTAATAGCTACTTCCACCACAAGTTTACTTAGTTTCCTTTGAAAAAGTAAGAGTAAAGATACTTTGGAGTCAACTTCTGGTAACTTTCTGGATCCATCCATGTATATTTCTTGGCAATAACACCAAAATTGTTATCATTGCCTTCTTCCTGGATTGTTTCCCCTATATTCCAGCTTAGCTTAAAGATGTGATATTTCCTGGTGCTTTTTCAATCAAGTACGAAACAGCTCCAACCCTGCTTAGCTTTCTGATATCTCGCAAGGTCAACTACAATATAAATCTATTGCTATCACTGTATCTTGTGGTAGTGATTACCATAAGTGAGTTATGTGCTATGGGTCGAAGCCAACTAGATGCATTTTTTAATCTTGCCTTTCCTTGGAGATAGAAATAGGTAACTGGAGATCTTGGAAATAAATCTGGCTCTCTTGGGTTTCCTGTCTCGTATCTTTCCTAATTGGAAGGTTTCTTATCACTAGGGTTATCAGCTGGTGAAGGGAAGGGACACTGACGTTTGAAAGTCCTGCTGGTCCACATGACTCTTTCCATGCCGGGATGAGATCCATTCTAGGATTCTTAAAGATCTCAGATGAGAACTTGATGATTTTCTACTAGAAATATACAGTATAATGTATCTGTAAGATCAGTCTTTGTATTGGAAAATAACCAATCAGTGTACTGCCAATTTTTAAAATGGAAATCAGGAACTCATAGGTCTATCAGTTTATGGGGAGATTTCTGGGATGCATTATTACAGATAACATTATTATACAGAGGACCAAGTCTTGCTTGAAAAGGATCAACCTGGTTTCTGCAAAGATGAGTCCTACCTCGCTTCTGTTTGAGTTCTGTGGCGGTACCTACAAGGACACCCACTCCAACCAGTATCAGCTCAATCTATTAAAATATCCAAGGAGAAGCTACTCATGGTCCCACATTTCTGAGAGGTTAGAGGGGGTGAAGCTGGAAGGCACTGCTTTTTTATGTCAGTCCTGGTGCCTTGGAACAGCCTCCTGACAGAGATCAGACTAGCTCCCTTCTTGGTGCTCGTTAGGAAAATGTTGAAGACCAAACTACTATGCATATGAATATTATATATGACACCATATTTAATTCTTTTTCCCTACTTTTTGTCTTTATTGTATTGTTGTCCCTTGTTTAGGTTGTTTTTGGTGGTCCGTGTTTGGGGTTTTAATCAGACTGTTGATGTTTTAACTTGTCTTATATTCTCTGTAAGCTGCCAAGACTCATTTGATTGCGTGTGGTGGGGTTTGGAGTTTCATAAATAAATAATAGATACAGTAGAAGCCACTTCCTCAGGCTGAAGAGGCAGGTTGGCAGATAAAATGAAGTCATCAGAGAAAACATTACTTTGCTCCTATCTGGCATAGAGAACACAAGTAGGTTGTTTTGTGGAAAATGGGTGCCCCTTTACAGGTTGATACTTCAGTCTACGTTTGCTGCTCTGGTTGATACTGGCAACTGAAGAATTATTACAATGCCAGGTTTCTAGTACTCTTGATGAAAACAAAACAGCATTTTACATTTTTCATCCAAGAATTACAACTGACTCAGTCTTTCATTAAATATGCAAACAGATTGCTGTTTAGGAGAGCTATAAGAATAGCAGAGTTTTTGCTGTG